GAGCACAGCCTAGAGTAGCTAGTATAAGTAGTTTCCAGAAACTCCTGTATCTAGCTTATTTTGCCCCTTTTCCAGTAGAGTTATATGGATCTGATTATTCATATACTGGCAAACTTGACTTAGCATCTTCAACTTGACTTATCATGCTTGACTGGACTGACACTGACTACCAATTTACTGACCAATTTCTGACAGCTCAGCTTTAGGCTGACTCCCATGCTTCTACTGACTTTTCACCTCTTTCCCCTGTGAGTTCTTGCACACCACCCACTGGACCAATATTTCAGACACCTTTTGGGTTGGATCACCAGGACATGGTGGGAATCTTTCTCATGGGCAACTTGAAAGGAGTCTTTGCAAGCAGTGACAACCTCTTGGGGAAGAACAGTCTGAGCTGAGTGTCAAGGTTTGGGTCTGGCCACCTTTCATATATGTGCCATGTCTCTCCCTACTGATGTGATGAAATCATTGTCCAGGAAAAGGGATGGGGGATAAAACTGTGGACTGATTCTGCTGTTAGAATTATGATTATGATGAAAATTCCCATCCATTTGCATGAGAACATCAGGAAAACTGTAGTCAACCATCAGTCTTGCTCATTCTCAACTCATGATCATGAATATGGGCTGACCTTTGTACCTCATGTCCCCAAAGAAGGTGTCCAAAACAAGCGGGGCACAGACTGTGCAAGTGTTGGCTTGCTCAGCCACCTTGAAGGACCTTCCCATCTACAGATGCAGTGATCATGGAGGTCACTGCTTCTCTTTGGGTGGCACTGTCATCATTGACAATGAGTTGGGATACCTGGCGGCAATGAATCATGTGCAGCTCCAAGTCAAGGTTGTCTGAAAGCTGAGAGAGAGCTACTTGGTACCACTGTATGGCACTGCTCCAGGCACAATGAAGGGGATCTTCCACTGGGTGTCCCTGTCATGACATGAAGAAGAGAAGAGTCTGGGACAAGAGTGGCTGACCTCATCATTCTGATAATAATCCCCCCTGCCCCAATGAAAATGGACCAGCATCTCACAAAATGCCTCATTAGGTACCATGTAGTTGGAGAACAGCTGAAGGTAGAAGTTGAGGAACTCCATGGAGAATGCAAGGGGGGTTGGGAAGGAGTGCTGGGCCAGAATCCTGCTCCAACTAACCAAGGAGCAATGGGATGAACTCAGCAATACTTTCTGAGAATGAATCCCTGACCTGGACAACAGTGTCAGTGGCAAACATTCTGACAGTTGATCATGATCATGATCACAAGCATGGTTATCATGATGGCAACCATGATCATGATCATAACACAGGGTAACATGTGACTCACCACCCCAGTCAATGTATTGGATGCATAACTGATGGACCTGATGGCAGGAGACAGTACAGGCATGGTCTAACTGGGGAGGACAGTTGTCCAGGAAAGGTTCTTTAGCCTGGAGCTGCGACAGCATCTTGGGGAGCATTCCCATCCAGAGTTGGTATGTTGTGTCCTGCTGCTTCTGATATGGAGTTGGATTGCATTGGGGGGAGGTTCTTGGCTCCTCATCCAGGCTATCCCATGTCCATTCAAGGTCCAACTGGGCATCATCCTCCCCCAATGGCAAGTGTGGCTCAACACTTGAAGGCGGTGTGTGAGGTTGATTGGGAGCAACCAAAGGAGTGGAATGTGGGATGTGGAGAGAACCTGGTTGCCATGATCTGGGAGGGGAGTGTGGAGAGTGTCGCTGATGCTGCTTGGCAGTTGTGTGACTTAGAGGCATTTGAAGTCCATGCTGAGATATGTGGGCATGGGCATGGGTGAGACCATGATCATGATCATGATCATGGTTGCAGCCCCCAGTGGAATGCTGAGAGGATGTGAATTGATGAGCTCATTGAGAGGCAAAGTGAGGTTTTGGGCAAGGGGTCCCTGGCTAATCCAGAATGAACCAACAAAAGTGAAGTCCAGCCGTCAAGTAGTGTCAACAAATGGAGCTTTTCCAGTAATGTGATTGAGACACAGCAGGACAAGATGAGAGCATCAAAGTGCTGACAAGTCAGGGCACAGAGCTGTGAAATATGTTGCAATTTGATAGAGAAAAGCAATATGGGTGATATGGATGAATACACAAGGAGCAGGTATTCTCATGATCATGATCATGTTAAAAACTGGCATAAGACAATGGAATGCCCTTAAAGGGCCATATGGGGTGGGAAAACAGTTCGAAAAGGGGGATGTGGTTCTACATCAATGTAGACAATCTGCTGAATGGTGTATTGGGGGGTGCCTACACTGAAGGGAGAGTAGCAGAATGCCTGGAAGGATCATTACATGGTTGTGAATGTGCTGAGCCTCAAAATCACCTCACCCTGGCATCCACCTCATACCTCACATGGTAAGTGAAGTCATCAACTCATTGGATGGGGGGAGGCACAGGAGGGTGGGGTACTGTGTCAGGGTGAATGGTGAGCTCCAGGTGATCAATGTCAATTCCACATCTTGACAGTAGGGCTGCCTAGTTCGAGGCTGTGTGATTGTCAGTTTGAAAAACAGAGGGCTGAGAAGACACACCTGAATAAGAATGCACCTCCAAATGGTTGCAGTGTGTGCTGAAAGGCAGAGCTTAAGACCAAGCAGTTGAGGTATAATGGGTGCAATAACCTTCCTGGTTATGAGTGCCTTGTGATGCTCCCTCAAAGTCAAGTGTCAGAGGTGCAACAGAAGGTATATGTAGCACCATTATGCTGAGATGCAGATGAAGGTCAACAAGAGGGCCAGCTGGTGGGAAGCAAGTTGTCCATCTGCAACGTCCGATATAAAGCTCCACAGCAGAGGAGGCCACTCCATCATGACAAAACAAGTTGCACCATTTGAGCTGGTAAACAAACAGAGGATGTCAGGCTGGGGCCAAGTCCCCAGTTCAGGATCATGGCCATGAACATGGCATTGTTGGGTACATTGCAATGTTACAATATGAAATTGCAATACTCAAGCCGGAATCTAGATGGGAATACCTGACCACAGAGAAATATTGCAGTGCTGGTCCGGAGTGGGACAAGCGGAAGTTTAAAGATGAAATATGGAATATTACAATGTTTGTGCAATATGTTCCCACAAACAGCCCTGAGAGGGCTGAACGGATGTGTCTGTGTGATCCCCAGCCGGGAATCGCCGGTTGCGTGCCAGAGGTGGTCAGCCATTGACTGAGGAGGAAATCCACAACGGCTCGGCTGGCGGCACCGCCCTTGCGCCGGCAACTGTTGTTCACGCGAAGTCGGCGTGGTTCTTCAAGTTCTATCCAGATGAGACCATTGATAAGGTATAAATTTTGTTTGAGATTCAAGAACTATGTTTATCCCACAATAGTTGTTCGTCCATGAACATATGGGAAACTGGATCATCATTCGCAAGACTGGCGACCGCATCTTCGAGACCATGCCCATTTATACCCGCATTGGCATGCACCTGCTGTTCTACGGGAAGGCGGAAACCGCACTTCTGCACTGGGGACGGGTAAAGACATTGTTAAGGGAGCAATCCATGAAGCGTGAGCATCGATGTATTGATATATCCCTGCATACATCTAACTCTTAGGTCAGAGGGTCAGATTTACGATAATCCCGATCCGAAAGTGATCTACCCCCATATCCTCGCATTCTGCAAGACATACCAAATTGACACATCTATCTTACTCGAGCCCGAGTTGCACAATTACCCCAGCCTGAACACGTTCTTCAGCCGCAAGCTGCGGCCCGATGTTCGCCCTATCACCGCTCCTGACGAGTTGGGCGTGATCGTATCGTGTGCCGACTGCCGTCTGACCGTATTCGAGACGGCCCAAGAGGCTACCAATGTCTGGTACGTCCTCGTCGCTTCCTTATTGTCTCGTTGGCATTGAACAGAGATGCAGGATCAAAGGTCGTCACTTCACTATTCCAGAGCTCCTCAATGACGAAGAGATTGTGGAAGAGA